CAGCCCATCAGGACAAAACTCCGGACCTGGGGTGACAGGGCCTTCGCAGCAGCCTCCCCCACACTCTGGAACTCCCTCCCCAGCCACGTCACTCTCACATCATTCAAACAATCCCTCAAAACACACCTTTTCACTCTTGCCTTCAACTCCTAATCAACTAGCCCCTTGCCCTTATTCCACCTAGCTTAGCACTTTCTACTTTTGTTCTTATTTTGTTTTACTTGCTTGTAAGCGCTTTGAGCACCAGGAAAAGCACTTTATAAATGTAATGTATTATTATTATATTTAGCCTACAGCCAAATATTTTAAGCTTGCAATTTGAATATTGGACTAATAGTCCATATTGCAATATCGATACATTTTGCAGCCCTACTGAGTTGCAAGTAAAACCACCTTGTCTCCAGTCTCTGCCCCTGTTGCCTACAGAAGCTTGTTAGCTTACTTGTTAGACGTTTTTATCCAAAGCAACTTACATACTCAATACTGTGGGCAATTTGGGGTGAAGTGTCTTGCCCAGGTCCACAACGACATGCTGACCGCAGTGGGACTCGAACTTGCTATCCTCTGATTCGAAGATCAGCGCATTAACCCACTGCGCCACACGCCTCCCTTGAAGGTGTCGATGAGCAGCAGGAGCTCACAGTGTGTTTCTCAGCCTCCTCCCTTTAAGTGAATCTAATCTGTCCGACCTCCTCAAGTCCAGCTATTGGTTCACTATTAATAGGCTCAGGCCGAGCCGCTGTGCACACAGGAGCTGCTAGCTGTGGCTTAAAGACACCAAAACGTGTTGAGCAGCTGAAACATGCCTTCTGTGTGACTTAGAACAACACATTATTTAAGATAAGATAAAGATAAGAAGTACTTTATTGATCCTAATTTGGGAAATGTTTTCGTTGCAGCAGCGTAAAAAGACAAGGCATTATACATTAGGGAAATTAAAAGACAAAAAATAAACAATCCAAAATGGAAACATATCAAATGGAAATAAAATAGCATTTCAAAATATACATGTTGTGATACAAATGTACAGCAACAATATATAAAGCAGGATATTATATGGACATTAATTGTGTAAGGAGTGGATTATTTACATATTAAATTGAATATAAATGTAAAATACAATAGGAGATATGATATTAGATATTATATAAAACTATGGAGACAGAGGTGATTTGTTATACAGTGTTAGTGTTATGTTTATTATCAGATATCATTTGAGCTCCATCATAAATCAGACAGCCTTCATTCATCTCGTACTGTAGGGGAGATATGTTTCAGTGCTACAGCAAAGAGACAGGGCAAGTAAAAGCCAAATGCAATAAAGAAACTGTGACTTTAATGTGTTTGACTTTTAGCCCGTGTTTGTAAACTGTGTGATATTTCCATGTTATGTGGATTTAATGAACAATAAAGTTATAAGAATTTGAATAAAGAGGCAAGTTATGATAAAACTAAATAAGAATACATCCATGGTAAATAAGAAGTAACACATTATAAGAGAGTAAATGAACATGTACAAATAGTGACGTAGCAGCGAGTACGGTAATAACAGTCAAAAATGTGTAATTGCACACTGACTTGTTGACGCAACACGCAGAGTAAGAGACATGTTTTGCCTTCATGATGTTGGTTGTTGAGCTTTGGCAACAAACCAATTGAAGCGTTCCCACGTTTATCGAGGTCAATAACACCAGACACTATTTGAGTGATTACGCCGAGCAGGAAACCAGCCTTTCGGAGCGATAGCATTCATTTATCAGATATTTTCAAACTCTTCTGTGTGTTGAAATACAGCTGTATCTGCTCTGGTTTGTCTGTCAGTGCTAATCTCTGTTGTCTTTTCTCACCCACAGAGCGGAGAAAACAGAAGTCCTCAGCGATGACCTCCTGCAGGTAAATCATTAATCCTCTGAATGGCTGCATCTGTCCGACAGTGGCTGTGTTACATAGTCCTGTGTTTCTTCCCTTTTTGAAGCAAATCAGTCTGGTTAAAAAAACAAAACAGCAATTCCCAACACTTTGGTTTCTGTTCTCAAGGTCACCTATTATGCAAAATCCACTTTTTCATGTCTCCTCTACATCAACATGTGTCCCGTCTTCTTCCTGTCTCTTCTACATCAACATTTGTCCCCTCTTCATGTCTCTTCTACATCAACATGTGTCCCCTCTTCTTCATGTCTCTTCTACATCAGCATGTGTCCCCTCTTCATGTCTCTTCTACATCAACATGTGTCCCCTCTTCTTCATGTCTCTTCTACATCAACATGTGTCCCCTCTTCTTCATGTCTCTTCTACATCAACATGTGTCCCCTCTTCTTCATGTCTCTTCTACATCAACATGTGTCCCCTCTTCCTCATGTCTTCTTCTACATCAACATGTGTCCCCTCTTCTTCATGTCTCTTCTACATCAACATGTGTCCCCTCTTCTTCATGTCTGTTCTACATCAACATGTGTCCCCCCTGTGGAAAGAGACTCTGAAAGTTTCAGGAACAAAGATTCTCTCTCTTTTTGATCCATTTCTATAAAAACCTGTCTGAAAATGAGCTGATCAGATTTTGGCCACTTTGTGATGTCATAACGATGTTTTGGCTTGTGTAACCATTAGCCAATCAGCAACCAAGGTAACACCCCCCCCCCCTGCTTATCACCTGAATCTCCTCCTAGAGCACCATTGTGTTCTTTCTAACCAAATCTCTCTCAGAGGGGCGTGGGGAGGGGCTCCTTATTTTCATCTAAAGTAACAGACAGAGAATCAGCACTTTGGAAACAGGGCTGAAACAGAGGGGATTATGGGTAATGCTGCAATGATCTGT